GCATAAGACTAAGATAGGTAGAATTTTGATGAGTGAATTGGAGATGAAATGGCATCAGTGCTGGTGCAGAAGTGGAAAAACAAAATCAGAGCTTAAGGAATGGCAAGTAGTCTGGGTGGGCAGGAACGTGGAGCTTATGTTGGGATGTACTAGGAAACAAAGCCAGGATGAATGGGCATGCTAGGACCTGATCATTGAAGGTCTTAAATACTGGGGTAGGACTGTGGCTCTTATTTACAAGGTGATTAGGCACCATTTTGGGAATTTGAGCACAAGAGTGGCAAACTCAAAGCTTTCTTTTGATGTGAAGTATAAAGAAGTGGGGATTTGTATAACTAAATCATTATAATTTTAGAGTGAACTTCCTAACAAGTTAAGTCAACAATGAAGTGGGATGCCTTACCAAGCAATGAGTTCTCCAGTTATTCAAACAAAGCCTAAATCTCAATTCCATGTAAAGGAAGTCTGTGTTGACTAGAAGATAAGACACTTGGGATATTTTTCTAATGTAGTAAACGAGGGGAAAGCACCAAAGTTAATTAACAGAAGGAGAAAGAAAGAAAATGTAAAGGTAAAAAATGTGTTCTCCAAATGGACCTCTTTCTTAAGGAGAAAAATTTTAAGGAAATACAGAAAACAAGTTAGGAAATGTGGAGGAGTAAAATTATGAGGGTAAAAATTTGCCATAAAATATATTGATATGTCCGAGTTCAAATTGTGCTGAGCTGGACTCTTCCCATCTCGAGTTTGACCAAAGTGCTAACACAATAGAATCAGGCAACCGGATGAGGGTCAGTCAGATCACCTTATGTCAAATTTACAGTTTTTGAAAATTAGTTTCATGACTCCGTGGCCCCTTACTTAGAGAGAGGCTATGAAAAGTGTTCAGAGTGGAGAGAGGGAGAGGATTTGTGAAGATATTTCTTTGGAGCAAGTTGGTGCAATTCTGTCAGTCCCCACTCTCCCAAAGGGGATGAAGTCTTGGGGTGTTACTTCCTTCATCTCAACCTAGTAGGGAGGACTTCCAAGGGATAGTGTGAGAGTCTTAACATGTATCCTCAAGTTTAGAGATGCCAGGAGTGGCGCCTAGCTTGCTCCTGGGAAAGCTACACCTGCGCATGGCTGGTCTCCAATTGGCTGGATAGTCATTAAAATCAAAAGAAAACGCTTCATGTTGCATATGCGTATAACTCAGATGCCATCCAATAGCGCCACCTACAGGAGTGGAAAGATCTCAGCAACAAGAACCTGGAGGTGATTCCAAGATTCCTAGCGGTGAGGGATGGAGTCACAGATGACCACCTAGAAGGAGATGCCTCTTTCCTGGTCTGGAGAATTTCCCCGCAAGGGAATCTCAAAAATCTCTAAGAAGTTAAAACCCAAGAAAAGGATTAATGAGAAAGAGTCAGGAATGTGTATGGAGAGGGGTGAGGGGTTGTTTTCCTATAAATAAAGATTGAGACATTTGAATATACCTTGGTTGGAGCTGACATTCTAGTTTCTGAATTGAGATTGTTTGCATTTTAACATGACCAAAGGACTATCAGTTACTTAGAAGTGGGCTAAAAAGCCATGAGTTTTCTAACTTTTCATGCAAGGGCAGGGGAAGCTTACCCCATCACACAGAATGTAATGAAACAATGGGGGATGAAAACTAAAGATCTGTTTTGATCATATCTCTGAAGTGATGCAGGTACAGTATTTAAGCAATAACCATTTGAAAAAAAACAGGCTTGCACCAAAAACAGAGAGAAAAATACAAGCACAGTGAAGTAATAGGTCACTTTACACAAAAAGTAAACTGAGGCTCAAAGAGGATGAGTAACTTGTTCAAGGCTGCATGACTAATAAATAGCAGATCTGAGGTTGCACCTCACCTCCCCAGATCCTGAGCTTTTAATGCCTAGGCAACACTTCTTATGTTGCGTCCTCTCTAAGAACACAATTATGCTCATCAAGGTCGTCCCCATCTATTGTTTACAGGAGGTGGTTCGTACTTGCCATAGTTCTGAAAGATGATTTTTGAATTTAAAAAGCTGGTGAGATGCCTCTGAACAATGGAACATAGCCCAAGGCTGCAATTTTATTTTATGCATTACAGCATTTTAAGGCCACTGGTACCCTGTTCTTTAAGATGAAAATAATATATCAGTGGGAGCTAAGTGAAAGAGAATAAACTGGTCTCCAGGCGGCAGATAGTATATGAAGTCAATAGAGGGAACACTTCCTGTGGTCTATCAATAATTCAGAAGCCCTCTATCCTCAATCCTCCTCCACTGTTCAATTCCTTTTCTTTCTTTTCTTCCTACTTTTCCTCACTTCCTTTTTCCAAATAAATAGTCTTGGCTGACAGGCTGCACTTAGGTAATCCCAGCACAGGACAATTAATGACTCTGTTTACAAGATTTTTGCTAGTATTTTATTTTTATCCTTTATAGTGTTTGCCCTGAAAAGCAAGTGAATATGGAGACGTGTTTTGGTTTTTTTGGCTGCCTTTCTCTTTGGCATATGGTATTTATGCCTTTAAAACTTTTTTGTTCCCGTTCCAGGGCATTTCACTGATGAGATTTATCAAGATGCACCTACAAATCAGCCTCTAAGAGATTGCCTGAATACAAAGTGTTATTAGGAAAACGCAGCAAGAAAACAATAACAAAGAACAGCTTTAGGAAAAAGCCAGACCGTTATCTCTTTTTGGGAGGGTTTATATGCTTGCTCCCAGAAATAATTCATCAAAGTCTGTCGCTGTGAATGAAATTAGATTTCCCTTTCAGCTTCAGTAATAAGCCATTCCTGGAAAAGCAGCCCTCAGAAACATTTGGTAAAAAAATTATTTTTACTCACAGAAAGAAGAGTTTGTAATGTTGTTTCTAGTGGAAGTATGGGACCGAGGAATCAGATATGCTTTTGCCCGCAAAGCTGCAGTTCCCTCTCCCCCAGGACATAGGGACTATCACAATATACACCAAGTATTAAAATATTTTCAATATGATAGTGTTTGGTTAAAATATAGTTATATTCTCATTCCTGTTTTCAAGCATAGGTATCAATCCGTCTTCAAAGTATGTGCTGAAGCCAAAAATAGCAAGAAAAGCCATGCATGAGGGAATTTTCTCAATCATTTATTCACTATTTTCTTTCTGTGTATTCCCTTTATCTGTGTAATATTGAGTCCCCCTAAACTGTTATATGCTTACTCATTTTGAAGCGACATGGTAAAGCATTTGCATATCTCACTAATGGTTGTCTCATCAAGGAGTTTAGTTCACCATGTGATTCAGATGGTGGTCTGTGGGTGAGCCCACCAAGCTCTGCCATAGCCAGCTGTGACGACGCTTGTCCTGGGCTGGTGCGGGGGCCACGTTTAGACCTGCCACAGGTGAGGACCGTGATACTGGACCTCCAGCCCGGCCTTTCTTCCAGACTGCATTTCACACTGACTGTCTTCTCCGCAAACTTGCTGTGACTAAATCTGATCTCCCTTCAAATGGGCTCTTTTCCTAATTTCTAGATTTTTTAGAAGGAATGCTGTGCAGCGAAGAGTTGAAAGGAGACAAAAATGGGTGAATGTACTTGTTACGTGTTGTTTGATTTGGGGCAAATGATTTATTCTTCCAGAGGCTCAGTTTCCTCCTCTGTAACATGTCGATCAAGATTCCAGAACGTAGGATTGCAGGCATTTAATGAGGTAACATTTCCAAGCATCTAGCCCAGTGCATGGGACAACACAGGTGCTAAATAACCAGGCATTTCCTCCCATTCCCTCCCAGTGAATGACGCTGCCTCTGTCTGCAATACCCAGGTTGGACCGGTTGATAATCAGTTTTCCTTCTTCCCTCTTCCTTACCCTTAATTAAAGCCAATCAACAAGTTATGGGATATTAGAACTGACAAGGACCTTAGAAACCACAGTCATCTGATTTCTTAATAAAACATAGAGACATAAGTCACCAATTACTCTAGCAATTTGACTCCTATGTCAATTCCATAACAATCATTATTTGGTGATGGAATTTGTTGCTTCACACTTGACGATCATATTGAACAAAAAAGAACAACTATAGTTAGTTTAATGATGATGTGCAAACAGCTCTAGGCTCACAAGTCAAGCTCTATTTTCTTAAGTGCTGTCCTATGGCTCTTTATGACTTAGAAAAGTTTTTTTGGTAGAATTTTCCCTGTCCCTGGTATGTCCTCTTCTCTCCTTGCCTTTCACTAATGTGGGGAGAGGAATTTGTCTCAGAGATAATTAGAGAAGAAAAGGATCATAGAAGCAAAACAAAGGAAAAAAATAAGATAATTCCAGAGGAAACAATGTCAATTTTTAACAGCCTAGAAATTGAGTAATCAATTACAATATTACACTTAGCCTGGAATATTCATACTGTGTATTATGTATGCTAGAGCATGAGTTCATTTGAGATCTTCTAAGTGGTTTATATTAGAAAATCCTAAGGGAATCACTCTACTAAGCAAAATAAGAATTAGATATGCTCATGTATGTGTTCTTTAAACACAACTATTCTTCCTTTCGTGTTCTATGCTGATTACTCACCCACAGCCCAAACCTCCTATTTGATACATTTACCCTCTTCTCTCTCCTATGTTCTATGTATAAGAGGAAAATAAATTATCCATAGTTAACATATTTTATACGTTAAGACAAGAAAAACATAAGTCATGTGATATGGTAGGGTGTAAATAATTATTTTTATGAAAGATTCTATTTCTTTAATCTCCATAGCCACTGACTATACATATTATTCAGGGTTCTCTCAGTAATAAATCTAAAGCCAGAAAAGAAAGAAAGACTCTAAATCTAATGAGATCCTTATTATACTGAAATCTACTATTTGTCAGGGCAACATGGAAAGCTTCTGAAAGAGCTGACCTTCAAACTTTAACATTTTGCTCCCCAGGTCAGTGCCCTGACTGGATTCCATGCGGGGCACACAAGTGGGGAGAGTGGCCCGCCACCACTTAGGATTCTATTGGGTTACCTCTGAAATGCGAAGACATGCTGCTCACAGAAGAGGATGATGGCTACAAGGACTCCGAAACTATAAAGCTTCATCCCAACAGCGATTAGCTGTAAAACAAAATTCTCTGAAGAGAAAGGGCCCTGTAGCTGGTTACATCAGAGCCTTCTTTACACACTAGTTAAAATGTAATGGCATGTTCCCTCTCGTTTCTGTGATCAATCGATTTAACTTCCATTTCCACCCCCAAAAAGCAAGTAGTATGAGAGTTGTTCTTAGTTTAGATGGTCTAGAAAATATTTAACTCCTCAGAGAAGATGAGGCCAAGAATAAAAGGATAGAAATGTAGCAGGAACGTGTCTGGTTTGTTGAGGAACCATAGCCATAGAGTGTTGACTAGTGGATCATGACCTATGCTGAGGGAAGTCTCCAGTGGAGTACTAAAAAGATTTTCCCTTGCCTTTGTCTTTGTCAACATTTTCAACTTAGATGAAGACATGGAAGGTGAGTTTCTCAAATTTATGGCTGATGCAAGGCTGAGAAGAAGAGCTTGTCAGGAGGATTGCAGAATCTCCATTCAAAGAGATTTTTCCTTGTCCATATGGAATGATGAGCCCACCATAGGAGAATAGGAATACTACTTTGTGGGGAGCTCTTTTGAGCAGTAAAGAAATCAGGTAGCTTCGAATCATGTTTATTTAGGAAGGTCTCCACAGTAGCCCTTATCTAAGACAAGGCCCACCACACATCATTCTGAAGGTAGTATCTTATAACATTTTGTCTAGGACGAGGCCACACCTAGCCTCTGTAAGTGGATGGAGCTGTGGGACCCTCCCTACCTTCCCACTGGTAAATGCATTTGAATGTTCTTGAGGTCAGGGCAGGCAAATTTGCAAAATAAATCAACCTCCTCACAATGGACTTCTGAGAAGGAAAGGATTGAGATCTTAAACCTCTCTCTCTGAGATTTGAAGTCATTGAAACCTATGTAATGGAAACTCCCTTTGTATAAGAAAGAAGGAGAAAAAAGAAAATGCATGTATATCTGCTCATTGGTGGAGAAAGAAACACTGGAAGGAGAGACCAGAAATGAGATCAGTTACCTACCGTAGGTGGGTGAAAAACTGGGTGGAAAAGGTGAAGGAACAAGAACAAGGCAGAAGAGGTGAGGGAGGAACGCTTCTTTGAGTAAACCTTTTTGGATACTTCTGAATTTTAGAAGCATGTTGATTTTCACATACTAGAAACAAGCAAAGAAATAAATAAAATGAATACAAACAAAAAAAAAATGAACTTGTGTTTCAAATGACTAACATAAGCACACTGAGGGGGCAAGTGGGAAAAACTAACCAAAGAGATTTTTACATTTTTTTTTTTTAACACAAGAAGTAACTTTAAAGTAGCAGTCAATAGTTAAAATTTACTGACAAATCTGGTCAATTTTTGTGCTCTCTATTTATTTTGTATCATATGTTTCCTCTCTGGGTTTACATTTCTTTTTGTTGAAGCAATCTTTTGCAAGTTCCTTTGGTGAAGATCTATTGCTGGTAAATTCTGTTATGCTTGGTATATCTAACAATAACTTTGTTCTGCCCTCGCTTGCAAAGACCAGTTGAGCTGAATGGAATATTCTGGTGTGATGGTCCTCCGTTGTCTTCTGGCATCTACTGTTGTGTGGTAGGAATCTGCTGTCCGGGTAATCGTTTCTCTGCAGGTCAGCTGTCCTTTCTACTTGATGACTTCTAAGAGATTATTCTTTTCTTTGATGCTGCTTAGATCCATTACTCTGGTCTAGATGTGGATTTATTTTTTATCACCTTGCTTGGTACACAGAATGTACTTTCGATCTGAGGGTTTAGATATTTCTTCAATTTCGGAAAATCATTTATTATTTCTTCAGCTATTGTATCTTTGCTAGTCCCTTTTAGGGGCTCCCTTTGGAGTTCCTTGATCTACTCTCCATGTCTTGTAACTGTCCTCTCATGTTTTTAAAAATCATAATCTTTGTCTCTGTATGCTGAGTTCTGGCACTATTGTCAAATTCACTAATTTACTCTTTGTGTCTAGCGTAGACTACATAGTCAGTTGAGGTGAGTTTTTAAAATTATTATTATTTCAATAACTATATAAATCTTTTCCAACTTTTCCAACTGGTTCTTTTTCATGTTTATCCATTTTGCTTTTATATCAGTATTTTAAAGTATCATTTAAAAATATGTTGTTTAATTTTGTATGGATATGGCTCCTTCAGAGCTCTTGCTAAGAATCCTCAGGATACTTATTGTGCAGTCTGTATCACACTGCTTTAGGAGATTAATTTTATTTGGTGTGCATTCATGCTCTCATCGTTGATGTTGTTGGCTGCCTTTCTTAGCATTTGATTTCTTCTGTGATTTGGAACCTTGGATTGCGGGGCTCATTTTGAAGTCTTTTGTTTTCCTTTTCTGTCTTTCTCCATCTATGCTGACTTCTCCCTGTTTTGCACATGCTTCCAAGCAGCCCCTGGGCTTCCAATTCAGAACCTTAAACTGGTTTTTCGAGTTTCTCTGCCATGATAACATCCTGGCTTTCAAAGATTCAGTCACCAGGCACGGATGACTTGACTTAGTTACTGGCTTTGTTACTCCTGGTTTAGTTACTCCTCTGTCTCCTATAGACCAGCAACTACTTATAAACCAGTCCTAGGCAGGAGAGGGCAGTATCTTTTTTAAGTTGAGGTACATGCAGTAAAATGCACAGATCTTAAGTGTACAGTTAGGTTAGGTTTGAAAAATATGTATACTTGGGAAGCCCACACCCCTATCTAGGTATAGAAAATTTCCATCACTCCAGAAAGTTCCTTCAACCCTCCCAATCAATTTTCCCCCACGCTAGCAACCACCATTCTAATTCTATTACCATAGATTAACTTTGCCTGTTCTAGGGCTTCATGGAATCGTATATTGTCTTAGCCAGTTCAGGCTGCTACAACAAAAATACTGTAGACTGGGTGGCTTAAACCACAAACATTTATTTCTCACAGTTCTAGAAGGTAGGAAGTCCAAGGTGAAGGTGCAAATTCAGTCTCTGGTGAGGACCTGCTTCCTGGTTCATAGATGGCCATCTTCTTTCTGTATCCTCACATGACAGAAAGAAAGCAAGAGAGCTCTCTGGGGTCTCTTTCATAAAAGCACTAATCCCTTTCATGTGGGATCCACCATCAGGACCTAATCACCTCTTAGAGGTCTCACTTCCAAATGCCATCACATGGGGGACTAAGTTTCAACATATGAATGAGGGGCAGGGGAAGGGGGACAAAAACATACAGTCTACAGCATATAGCATGGACTCTTTTTGTGTCAGGCTGCTTTTACTCAGCATGTTTTAAAAATTCTTTCATGTTGTTGCATGTGACAGCAATGGATTCCTTTTTATTTCTAAGTAATACAACACTATTTGTTTATCCATTCTTCTATTAATGGACATCTGGGATCCTTGCAGTTTGGGGCTATTATGAATAGACCTGCTATGAATAGACTTATACAAAGCTTTTTTGTGGACAAATGCTTTCATTTCTCTTGTATAAATATCTAGGAGTGGAATTGCTAGGTAATAGGGATGTTTAGTTTTATAAGCAACTGTTGTGCATTTATCCAAAGTGGTTGAACCATTTTATATTCCCACTAACAATATATTAGAGTTCTAGTTGGTCCACATCCTTGTTGGTATTTGATGCAGTATTTTTCATTTCAGCCATTCTGGTAAGTGTATGGTGGTATTTAATTTTGGTTTTAATTTATATTTCCATGATGACCAATGATGTGGAGAAATTAGTCTGTGCTTTTTGGTCATATGTATGTGTGTGTGTGTGTGTGTGTGTGTTGAAATTGTTTGCCTAATTTTTAATCAGATGGTTTGTCTTATTACTAATTTGTAGGAGTTATTTATATATTCTGGACATCAGTCCTTTATCAGAGATAAGTATTATGAATGTACCTTCCTCTGGGAAGTGTCTGTTAAAGTCTTTTGAACATTTTGAAAAATTCAGTTGTTTGTTTTTTTCTATTAACTGGTAGGAGTTCTTTATATATTCTAGATACAACTCCTTTGCCAGATACATGTTTTGTGGGTATTTTCTGCCACTTTGTGGCTTGCGCATTTTTTATTGGTGTCTTTTGAAGAGGAGAAGTTTTTAATTTTGCTGGATTCAATTTATTAATTTTCCTTTAATGGTTAATGCTTTCTGTAACATCTTGTCTAAGAAATTTTTTTTTTAATTTTTATTTATTTATTTTTCCCCCCCAAAGCCCCAGTAGATTGTTGTATGTCATAGCTGCACATCCTTCTAGTTGCTGTACGTGGGACACGGCCTCAGCATGGCCAGAGAAGCGGCATGTTGGTGCGCGCCTGGGATCAGGATCCGAACCCAGGCCGCCAGCAGCGGAGCGCGTGCACTTACCTGCTAAGCCACGGGGCCGGCCCTTTTCTAAGAAATTTTTGACTAATTCAAGGTCATTAAAATATTCTTCTTGAAGTTTTATAGTTTTGGCTTTTACTTTTAGGTTTATGATCCATCTCAAATTAATTTTTGTTATGGTATGAGGCAGGGACTGAGGTTCTTTAATTTTCTTTATAGACATTGTTGGGGAAGAGGGAGAATCCCCCTCCACCCTTTCCCTTAAGGTTCTTCTGGCTGGCAGAGTAATTAACAAGACAGGTTAGCAGGAGAAAATAATACCAAGTTTAACAACATGTATACATGGGAGAAACCAGGGAAACTGAGTTTCTCAACACAATAGCAGCAATTCTCATCTTAAATAATATCTTCAGCTACAGACAAAGGAGGATGTTGGGGGTGGTAGTGGTTTGGGATTTCAGAGGGGAAGAAGAAAATTTACATGGAGAGGGAAATGTAAATGTTTGTCAGACAATGCTTTGCAGGGCCACCTACAGAGAATGTGGCCAGAGAGACAGGAATTATAGTAATCAAGAGTAAGTACATTTAAGTCTTCTTCTTCCATCCTGATAAGAGTTTTCACAGATGGGGTCATCCCCCCCTCTTCCCACTACACAGAGGGAGATACCTTTACAAATGTAAATATTTGGTAAACAGAACTTTGTTAAGAATGGGCTTAGCGAGGACCCTGCCAATCTGTCTACACCCAGAGATAAATTCCTTTAGGCAGTTTGGGGGAGGT